CCCCAAAAAAAAATAAAATAATTTAAAAAAATTATTTTTTTTTCCCGACTCTGGCGTCAGTGAATAAACAAATCAAATAAATTTATTTTTACGCATCAAATAAAATTATTTTTACGCATTACAAAAAAAAAAAAATCAGTATTTTTATTCCCGACTCTGGCGTCAGTGAACAAATGAAAAAAAAATAAATTTATTTTTTATGCATGTACATATTTTTTTAAATCTTTTAGTCGTGTCAATAATCTTCACAAAACTCATTAAAATCAATAGAACAAAATTCACTCCCTTATCCGTTCTAAGTGATCTTATAGAATAACCTTCAACTAATTCCTTATCAAAAAATCATCTCAACCCAAAATTTTAAGTTATTAAGTGAGATCCCAAGATATGATTTATATTATTCTCTAACACGCCCCTCAAGTGAAATTTTTTGGACTTGAAACTTACACAGATCTACACTATTTTGTACTTAATTTTTATCACATAAATAGAGATGGTGAGATTCGAACTCGTGACTGTTTGGTCATCAAGGTTCTGATACCATGTCAAAAAATTATCTCAACTCAAAAGTTTAAGTGGTTAGGTGAGGTCCTAAAAAATAATTTATATTATTCTCTAACATTTCAGGAGGAAATGGAGGGAACAATACAACTATGATTGTGATTGCTACTGTAGTATCATCATTAGCTATAGTTGTTGCTCTCTTGCTGTTCTGGTATTTTTCATGCTGGAAAGGGCCAAGAAGAACAGGTAGATAAACAATATAAGAGTAACTAATTAAGCTTTTAATTTAATCTTTGGTGTGAAATTGTCATTAGATTACTGTATGAAATTGTCATTAAACGATATTTGTGTAACTAATTAAGATTTTAATTTAATCTTTGGTGTGAAATTGTCATTAGATTAATGTATGAAATTGTAAATTAAGATTTTAATTTAATCTTTGGTGTCAAATTGACTTGTTATTCAAGAGGAGGAAAGAAGCCAAGAAATTCTATTACGAGAAAATTCAAATCACAGCTACCTGAATGAAGGAGAATTGCCTATTACCGGTTATGACAATGGTGAACAAATGCATTACTTCAATTTGACGACCATAAGGTTAGCTACAAACAATTTCTCTGATGAAAATAAGCTTGGAGAAGGAGGTTTTGGCCCAGTTTACAAGGTTCAGATCCCAATACTATTCTCTTGTAATCTTCTAGTACTCAATACTAAATGTTATTAATAGTTGAACTTCAAAACTTCAGGGCATTCTTCCTGCTGGAGAAGAAATAGCAGTCAAAAGGCTTTCCATGGTATCAAAACAAGGTCTTGAAGAATTCAGAAATGAAGTGATGGTCATCGCTAAACTTCAGCACAAAAATCTTGTAAGGCTGTTGGGATATTGCTTGGAAGGAGATGAAAAGCTTCTTGTCTATGAGTACCTGGCAAACACAAGCCTTGATGCCTTCCTGTTTGGTTTGCTTTCTATCGCTCTCATAGTTTTCCCATTTTTTTTCTAATTGTATGCATCCACTTCTACCACCGAATGGAGTTTCCTTATCATTTCCTTTGTGAAGACAGATCCAAAGAAAAGTAGGGAACTCGACTGGCCAAAGCGTGCTAATATTATATCAGGAACTGCAAGGGGCCGGCAGTATCTACATGAAGACTCTAGACTCAAAATCGTACACCGTGATATGAAAGCAAGCAATAACTTGTTGGATGATCAGATGAACCCAAAGATATCAAACTTTGGCACTGCAAGAATTTTCGGAGGGAATCAACTTGAGGCCAACACTAACAAAGTTGTTGGCACATTGTAAGTCCATTTCCTTCATATTAATTCCTATAAATAATACGAGAATGAGAATCATCTGGTAACCTTTACTGTCCTCCACTCAATTTGATGTAGTAATTATTTTTCTTGAGCAGTGGATACATGGCACCAGAATATGCACTGGAGGGAATGATTTCAACAAAGTCAGATGTTTACAGCTTTAGAATCCTGTTGTTAGAAATCATTACTGGTAAAAAGAACAGAGGTTTCTACAGCCAAAATCAAGCCCAAAGCCACCTCTTACATGTAAAAACTCTCTTCTTACTGAACCTTATATCAATTCAACATTAACATGAATACAATATCTCTGATCCTGAAATTTATATACCCTGAACAGGCCTGGCAGCTGTGGAATGAAGGCACAGGAAAGGAGTTGATAGACAGAAATATAATCGACTCTTGTCCAGTAAGTGAGGCTTTGAGATGGATCCATATTGCATTACTTTGTGTTCAAGATGATCCTGCGCGTAGGCCAACCATGTCATTAGTTGTTCTCATGCTTGGAAGTAATGCTGTAAACCTTCCCCAACCATCAACAGGTCCAAAATCTCCGGTTAAATTTACTTCAGTCCTGTCTCATCAGTCTTCAGCATCTTTGTCAGGATCATGTTTTCTTGCATCTGATCAATCTACAGCTAGTGCTTCTTGGTAGTTAAGAAATTTATTACATGGTTTCTTTGTAGCCAAGTGTGGTTTGTGTTTGTAAACACTAATAGTCTGATAGAAATTATGGTGCGTTCATGATTATAGTAGGTTCCTCTATAAGCTTTCGTGATGTTGTAAATCATTTCATTTCCTCACATTCTCTTCATCATATATGTCATATATGTTTGATCAGGCTTTCAATGTATCAGAAGTTTAAATTACAATGTTTATTTCTTCATATATTTGTCATTCTCTTGCCATCAACATGCATGCATGAGACAATCAATGGCATTAATTTTTTAAAGGAAAATTAATCCGCCGGCGACCTCCTTTTTTATTTGTTTCTTAGGCATGATTCTCCTTCCTTACAAGAGTGGAGATGATGTCTTTGTAAATATATATTTTTACAATAGTCCAATTGTAATGATGATTACACAACTCCATTAAATATATGAAGTTCTGCCTGAAAAATATTAAAGAGAGACCAACAAAAATGTACGAAAACATTGGTATCAATGACTTTAACCAAACTGAAAGCCTAAATATTAAAAGAAATAAAATATTTGTTAGTATTTTATTTTTAAATATTAACTAAATTATCGAAGCTTTAATAATTGATTATTAAATCTTAAAATACCATGCAATATTTTATATTGTTGGAGAGAACTAGCGTGTGCAATTAAAACATCTCATTTATTTTTTTATATTTTATATTTTTTGTCATTTTGGGTTTAACATTAAAAGAAAACATACATAAAAGTTCATTCTTTTTTTATCTTTTTATTATTTTTTTTGTCTTTTTCATTCCAGATCACCCCCGCCTCGTGGATTCACGCATAGCCACAAGAAATTCCACGAGACGGGGGCGACCTGGAACGACTTCCTCCCCTATTCACCGTCACCTGCAAAAAGAAAAGATGCAACAAGTTTTGGTCCCCTTTCCTTCAAGGTTATTAGATATGCTTCTCCCCACATATCTGTTTTTTTTCTTTTGGCTTTGCCTCCTTCTCTTTTTCAGGTTGCCGGCGGTAAGATCAAGAGGTTGCTGGCATGACTAGGCTTCTGTTGTCGTTCGTAGCAGTAAAGGGCTTTGGGATGAAGAGATCGGAAGAGATGGGAAAAGTTGTGGCCGAGAGAGGGAAAAGTTGTGGTCGACGGGTTCTGTGGGATGGGAAGCAGTTGACTGAGGGCTAGAGGTTGATGTCAAAGATTGTCTGAGAGGAGGGTGAAAGGAGGCGGCTCTGGTTCTGGTCCGTTTCAAGTCCATGGGAGATGGTCTTTGCAGGCCGGAGATGGGAAGAGGAAGGAATGGCCGAGAGAGGGATGGTCTGGTGAGGTGGAGAGTCGTCTGGGGAAGAGGGAGAGTTAGGCGGTGTGGCTGGTCTGTGGTGGAAAGATGAAGGAGAATAGGGGCAACTGAGGGAGTGAAGATCTGTTGGCTGAGGGGACTAGAGAAAGGGTGCAGGGCTCTCTGGATTGGTTTTGGGAATGGCGGGGACAGTGACGGTTAGAAGGAGAAGAATGGAGATGGAATGGGAGGGATCCGGTTGTTGAAAAAGGCAGAGGAATCTTTGGTTTTGCGAACGGAGAGCGGCGGCCGGGGCAGAAGAAGATTTAGGTTTACGGTTTTGGTGGTTCCCTCTGACATTTCAGCCCACAATTGCCCCTGTTGTGTGTGTTATTTCCCCTATTTACTGGGAAAGAGTGGCTTAGTCCCCAAACTTGTTTTTTTTATATATATATAAATTCTAATTTTTTATTTTTAAAATTTTTTAAAAACAAGCAACATCAATAATAAGTAAAAATAATAATTTTAAAAATAATATATTAAAAGTTTGACATGTTTAAAAAAACTTTTGAAAAATTATTTTTTTTAAATAAGACTGAAAATGCAAAAAACAATACAAATATATTTGATGTTTTTGTTGTTTTCTATTGTTATTTTTTAAAAAAAACACATCAGATTAAAAACTAGATAACAAGAGACTAAGTGAATCCAAGATAGGCCATGAAACAATTCCAGGACTTCCATCAATCTTAGGAGGAGCAAAACATTTTTCAATGGCAAGTTTGCAAAAGAAAACGAACCTGAATCCCAGATGGTCAATTAAATTATTGGCAGACCGAACAATATAGAGTCCATCACCAAAATGTTCCTCATTTTTTTAACCTGCCTTTCTTGTATTAATGTTTTACTAATGACAACAGAGCACGTAGATGTGTCTGCTGTATCTCCTCAAAAGGCAAAAGTAGCCTTATCCATTCCAAAATTCCATACAGTGGTCTCTAACATGTTCTCTCTCGTTGCAGTTAAACAAATGGAAGGTCGTGCTGAAATTGCATATAGTGATGAGAAACAAATGTTAAGAGGACCGGCTGCCATCCATTTGTCCTTCCAGAATTAGATTGTCTCCCCATTAACAAGTGTGTAGCTGTAGCTATTCTTTTTATTCGAGTAAACTTACATGTATTTTAATTAATTTTATAAATTTTAAAATTAATAATTATAAAAAATTTTAATGGCAATAAAAATTATCCGCTTCAAACTAATAACTACCAAAAAAACAAATTTAGAACCAGATAATTGTAACTATTCTTCAATGACGATGAAATTGTTGTGTCTAAATTAATGATCGACGAAGTCCATTTTCAAAAGCAGGGCAGTATGTTCTGCGAATAAAATCATGTCACCCACCTAGATGATTATCCCTTGAATGCTAAAGTCACTTGAATAGCAGTGCTCTATTCTTCCTTTCGTAATGATCCCAATCATAAACCTCGCATGTTTCTGGACCTAATTACAACACTCCAAGCCACTTTGCACATTTTCGCTCCAGATGAAACACCACTCCACAAAAACTTTTATTGGTGTAAGCACCTTGGCAACCCCCCTGCGGCAACAAAAACACTGATAAATAATATAATGGCATGGAGGAGTGAACAGTTTTGATAAGGCAGACAAGTCCTGCTAAACTTTGAAATCCTCCCTTCCATCTTCCTAGTCTAGTGCAAAATTTACTAACAACCTGCTTCCAAGTTGAAATTCTCTTCGGATTTTCACCCAAGGGTAGTCCCAAGTATCTGATTCGAAATATGTCCCATTTACAGTGTATTATATTGGCCATATCAGTTGTATAAGACTAATACCGACAAGAGAGCTCTTATGAAAGTCAACTTTCAATCTTGACGTCAATTCGAATCATCAGGGATCCGGTTGTTGAAAAAGGCAGAGGGATCTTTGGTTTTTGCGAAGGGAGAGCGGCGGCCGGGGCAGAAAAAAATTTAGGTTTACGGTTTTTGGTGGTTCCCTCTGATATTTCAGCCCACAATTGCCCCTGTTGTGTGTGTTATGTCCCCAATTTACTGGGAAAGAGTGGCTTAGTCCCCAAACTTGGTTTTTTTTATATATATATAATTTTTTTTTAAAAAAAAAAATTTAAAAAACAAGCAATACCAATGTTACGAGTAAAATTAATGATTTCAAAAATAATATATTAAAATTTTAACATGTTTAAAAAAACTTTTGAAAAATTAATTTTTTTAAATAAGACTGAGAATGCAAAAAATAATACAAATATATTAAAAATATATTCGATGTTTTTGCTATTTTTTGTTGTTTTTCTTTTAAAAAAAACATCAGATTAAAAACTAGATAACAAGAGACTAAGTGAATCCAAGATAGGCCATGAAACAATTCCAAGACTTCCATCAAACATGACAATGTTGGAATAAATGATATGTGCTTGCTATGTATCAATATGACATAGAGGGCACGAAAGCTTGATTCAGTTGAATTAAATTTCTACGCAACAATATACTTCTTGTATAGATTCTATTTTGTAGAAGCAGCTAAGAACATCTCAATCTTAGGAGGAGCAAAACATTTCAATAGTAATTTTGCAAAAGAAAACGAACCTGAATCCCAGATGGTCAATTAAATTATTGGCAGACCGAACAATATAGAGTCCATCACCAAAATGTTCCTCATTTTTTTAACCTGCCTTTCTTGTATTAATGTTTTACTAATGACAACAGAGCACGTAGATGTGTTTGCTGTATCTCCTCAAAAGGCAAAAGTGGCCTTATCCATTCCAAATTCCATACAGTGGTCCCTAACATGTTCTCCCTCGTTGCAGTTAAACAAATGGAAGGTTGTGCTGAAATTGCATATAGTGATGAGAAACAAATGTTAAGAGGACCGGCTGCCATCCATTTGTCCTTCCAGAATTAGATTGTCTCCCATTATCTAAGTTAACTTATACGTATGATTATCTAAGTTAACTTATATGTATGAATGGAGACGTATCTCTGGACTAAATTTATAAATTTTAAAATTAATAATTATAAAAAATTTTAATTACAATAAAAATTGTCAGCTTTAAACTAACGACTAATAAAAAACAAATTTACAAATTTAGAACCAGATAATTGTAACTATTCTTCAATGACGATGAAATTGTTGTCTAAATTAATGATCGAGGAAGTCCAATTTCAAAAGCAGGGCAGTATGTTCTGCGAATAAAATCATGTCACCCACCTAGATGATTATCCCTTGAATGCTAAAGTCACTTGAATAGCAGTGCTCTATTCTTCCTTTCGTAATGATCCCAATCATAAACCTCGTATGTTTTTGGACCTAATTACAACACTACAAGCCACTTTGCACATTTTCGCTCCAGATGAAACACCACTTGGCAACCCCCTGCGGCAACAAAAACACTGATATATAATATAATGGCATGGAGGAGTGAACAGTTTTGATAAGGCAGACAAGTCCTGCTAAACTTTGAAATCCTCCCTTCCATCTTCCTAGTCTAGTGCAAAATTTACTAACAACCAGCTTCCAAGTTGAAATTCTCTTCGGATTTGAACCCAAAGGTAGTCCCAAGTATCTGATTCGAAAAGTGTCCCATTTATAGTATATTACATTGGCCATATCAGTTGTATAATCTTCATCAAGACTAATACCGACAAGAGAGCTCTCATGAAAGTTAAGTTTCAATCTTA